ATAAAAAAATTTTTTATTTAGAATTAAAAATATAAAAATAATTACTCATAATTTTGGGGTCAATATTAACTTGGATGTAAATGAAATAGTTAATTATTTATAATTTAATAAATTACTCAATAACTTACCGGTCAATATTAATTTGGACGTAAACGAAATAGTCAATTATTTATAGTTTAGTATACTACTCAACTACTTAATTTTTTTATTTGAATAGTTTATACAAAAATAGATTATTTTAAGCAATGAAACGATATAAATTTAATATTTATAATTTTTATTCACATAAGTTGTTAAATATATGATAACATTTTACCAAAATAATATTTTATGGAATCGCATTATAGTCAAATCAAATTTCTGAATAAAATTTTTGAAATTATACTTATTTTGAAACGAATATAATGTGATTTATTACCAATTATGTGCATCACACGGGTTGTGTACTAATTTTAATAATTTTGTACAATTTCAACTTTATATAACATTTTCAATAAATTAGAATAGGTAATTGTATTACATATAGATATAGATATAGATTTATTATGTTGATTTTTACATAAGTATGATAAAATTGAAAAATCGAGTCAAGTATTGTAACCAACTCTTAACTGAAAAGACTGTAATATATTATTTTGAAGTTAAAAATTTATTAATTTTTAATTACATCAATATTATTTTCTTTCCTTATAACTTATAATAATGTATTTTATAAACATTTTAAATTTCTTTCTAACCTATTAATTTATATGACTTTTGTTATAATATTGTGAATCACAATATAAATTTTTTAAAATCTGGTTCAGTGCAGTTATTGATAAAATCAAATGATATGTTTGAACTTGAATTGATGATTTTGGGTTTATGGCTCGTTACCAAATGCATAGAAAATCGGATGATGTTGAGATGTAATTTCAATTGTAATATTGTTCTAGTTATATCAATAATATTTTTGTAATTGTTTTCTAAATTTATTTCGTAGTTATATTTTGTAATGTTTTCATGCATATTTCGATCTAAATATGACTAGATGTCCAACAAAGCAGTATAATGCATTAATTGATATTAAGGATAAAGATTGGT